GAGGGAAGCTGGGGGGTGGGGAGCTGGGGAGAGATAGGAAGGGGAGAAATGCCAGATATAGGTGATGGGGAGGAAGGCAGCAAATCACACTGCCACGTGTGTACCTATGCAATAATTTTGCATGTTCTTCACATGTACCCCCAAACCTAAAATGCAATAAAATAAATAAATGGGAAAAAAAAAGATAATATTTAGGCAAAATGAACTTTCCTTATTTTTTGGTCAGTTACACAGTTACTTGAATAAACCATTATTTCAATGTAAGTTATTTAATATCTCATGGTCCCTTACTTCTCTTCTTAGAAATGTGGAATTTGATTAGCTGATCGCTAATGTCTTTTAAAGTCCTAAAATTCTGTTAAGACTATGAGTAATATTTTTCTTGACAATTGATAAACCTCTTGTGGGGTTTTTAATTCTTGATATAAATCAGTTGTATCATAGTAGCTACATTATACAGTATTTATATATTGGTAGAGAAAAATCGCACTTTACTGACCTTCCCCAGCCTCCTGCACCATTCTCATCCTAATTATTCTTGCTTCTGTCCAGTCTGGAGGAGCCTGTGTGGTTATATGTGCAAGAAGTAGCTCATTAACAATTCAGCATCTGTCGTCTAAAGCATCTGCCCTTGTAACTTTTGATTTGAGTTTCATATTTGAAAATGCTTTTATGTGACCAATGCATATTAAAAAGCATACTATACCCTTACATTCATTGTTGTCTGTTTTCACTTGTACCTCATTTTTTGATGCCAAAGGGGATTTAGCCTACTCTACATAAGATGTATTTTAATTTAAATCTTCAGAAGTTTACCTTCCAAATTTGTACAATTTTATCATTTCAGGTGGCACAATAAACAAGTGGAAAAATATTTGGATTTAGAAAAATAGCCAGTACTAACCATCTTGCCAAATGACGTTTCAACTATGTTACACATTTATTCTTCTCCTTAAATTAAAAGAGTAGAAAAATTGATTTGAAAGAGAGGTTGGTAAAGCCAATGAAGTAAATAGATTTTAAAGGTTTTATAGTTTTTTTAAGGTTAATATAATTATGATTTTAAAATTTATGCACTATTTTTCTATCTTAAACACTTTAACAGTTTATTTTACAAATTATACTTTGAAATGAAATGTATTGCTATCTCCCACTTTATATTTTAACAGTGTTTTTTTTTGTTTGTTTGTTTTTTTCTTTTTTTGAGATGGAATCTTGCTCTTTTCACCCAGGCTGGAGTGCAGTGGCACCATCTTGGCTCACTACAACCTCTACCTTCTGGGATCAAGTGATTCTTCTGCCTCAGCCTCCTGAGTAGCTGGGATTATAGGTGCCCGCTATCACACCTGGCTAATTTTTGTACTTTTAGTAGAGATGGGGTTTTGCCAGGTTGGCCAGGCTGGTCTCAAACTCCTAACCTTAGGTTATCCACACCTGTCAGCTTCCCAA